GGCCTACGAACCCGCTCCCTCAGCCCGCGTGCCATCTGCCTAGTCTAGGCCCACCTACGGCCCAATTTTGGTGCCAGGCCCAATTGTGCTCTTGGTTTGTTTTCTAGTGGCCAGTGCGTCCCAATTCGCATATGCAGCGGCCCAACAGTGGCCTGTGCAGCCCAATTGCCGTTTTAACCAAATTTAGAGTTCCGGAGTCTGTTTTTTCATACCGATTTCAATTGTAAAAATATTTTTTTTTTTCAAATGATATAAATTAGGGAAAAATCATTTTTAGTCCCGGGACTTCAGATTTTATCCTCCGATTCTTATTTTAAAAAATGAGAGAGTTCCAAGTCCACAAAAAAAATTCGATTAAAACCCTTAAGTCTTAATTTTGGTTAAGTATGGGTTTTATGTTAATTTCGAGTAATGAGACAGATTATTGATGTATTATCTCACTTAAATGTAGGTGTTTGAGGAGTAGAGCCCTCGCCCTACGTACTTTCTTTTGTGTGCAATATTCTACCGCAATTTCCAGGTGGGTTACTCAAAATTTGTCTATGCCTTGAATGATAATTGCTTTATTTATGTGGGTATGATCAATGTATGCATGTGAGCATGTAATCTTCGATGTGAGCTGTACCAGCCGTTGAACGGTTATCCCCGCAGCTATATAACGTACCCCACAAGGGTAATCTCCATGTTTGTCCTTTGCTAAGGACCACGTCATCTGTAAGACCTTGGCAATGTGCCCTGGTTGGTGATGGATATCCTGTTTCAGAACTAGGTGCGTGTTGTGACGGTTGAGCCTCCTGCTGTTTGGGCACCCCATTTATGTTCGCCGAAAGGCATACGAGCAGCAGTCTATTGTTATAGGTGTGCACATGAGAATTACTTTGGTTAGGAGATGGGATATTTATTGACTATGTTCATACTGCGACCATGCCATTTAATTTCTTGTATTTTATTATTATTAATGTGCATAGTAGTGAGCACTACAGTTCACCGTGCTCACTCCCACCTGCTCTTCATGGATGCAAGTTAAGCGGGTGTCGGATGACGAGGCAAAGACGAGTGGTGGTCGGTTGTTGATCTGACCTAATGTAGTAGCTTCCGCTTACATTTATGAAACTCGGAATACTGTCGTTATTTACGAACATTGGTTATATTAATGCATTTATGACTTTGGGATTTGGAGAACTTTGAATTGGGAGTTCCCTAATGAATACTTTGGACGAACTTGAGATTTATGGAAACTTCGGATTTATGATTTATGAATTATGAAAGTATGATTAATGTTATTATGTGATTTAGTTGAGTAGCGCCACCGATTTATGAAATAAATTTTGAAAATTTTAAGTTGACTTTTTGAAAAATCCTTGACTTTCGTCAAATAAAAGTGGGGCGTTACACATGGTGATTCCTTCGCAAACAGTAGCAGTAGCTAATGATAGGTGTGTACACATTAATAAAGTGAATTTGTGTGTTATGATAAGGAGATGTGACATGTTTATTGATTTATGATCATATTGCGACCATACCATATATTGTTATTTACGTGCATAGTGGTGAGCACCACGAATTCTATTTGTGCTCATCCCCACCTATTTCTTCACTGATGCAGGTTAGACAGGTTGCAGGCATGATAAGGAGGGGATGAGTGGCCGGTCACTTATTATTATTTATTCTGCTTCCGCATGTTATTTGGTCTTTATAAACCTTGTGTTGGTTTTTAGACATGTTGAAAATGATTTCCAACTTGTGTTTTGAAATATGTGGTTTAGATATTATCGGTTATGTGATTGTTGAATATCATGTGATGTGTTCTGTTATCGGTTAATGAAAACCATGTGAGATACTGGGTAATGAATCTCTGTGAGTCCCGACATGACTTAGACTATGTAAATGTTAAGTAATGCCCATGTTTAAGTTAATTTTGAAAAATGAATTTCGAAAATGTTTTATTGATTTTTCTGAAAGTTCAAATTTTATTAAATATCAAAGTGGGGCGTTACACATCTGTTGTTTGCAGATGACTCCATCCTTTTCCGCAAGGCAGATAAATACCAGGCTGGGATTGTTAAATCCATTCTTGACAGTTATCAACAATTCTCATATCAGAAAGTCAATACCCAAATCTTCCATTTTCTTCAGCAAGAACACCAGCATTGTAGCACAACAGGAAGTTTGTCAAGTCTTTCCTGGCATCCAGGTTCAAAAATCCTCCAAATATCTGGGGATGCCCTTTGGGATTGGACACTCTAAAAAAGAAGTGTTTGGGTTTGTGACTGAAGCAGTGAGAAACAAGGTTCACAGCTGGAAAAATAAATATCTTTCATCTGATGGGAAGGAGGTCCTCATAAAATCAAATCTTAATGCACTCTCTCTTTTTGTTATGTCTTGCTACAGGCTGCCAGTGGCAATTTGCAAAGAGGTGACCAGCATCTTTGCAAAATTCTTGTAGAGCAGAAACTGCGAACATACCAATGGGATTCACTGGAAGAGATGGACATGTTGACCTTCTCAAAGAAGCAAAGAGGATTGGGATTTAAGGACATCTCTCTTGTCAATGAGGCCATGCTTGTGAAGTAGCTCTAGAGACTGATCACTCAACCACAACTTCTCATGTGCAAGATTGTTAAATCAAAATACTACACCAAATCTTCTATTTTTTAGGCAAATATAAAGAAAAATTCCTCTTGGTTATGGAGATCATGGCTCAAAGTCAGGTGGCTCCTGAGAGAAGGCTTATCTATTGAGATCAAGAATGGTGCTACTGTACAGCTTCATGATCTGAACTGGATCCCATAGATTAGATTTAGACCCCCCATCTTCACTGCAGAAGCTGGTTATGGCAAGCTCAGGGTGCCAGAACTATTGCATGGAATGAACATAAGGCGAAAGAAATGTTTGTGGACAGGGACAACACAGAAGTTCTTAAAATCAGCTCTCTTGACCTTCAATCAGTGGATAGATGGAGATGGACCATAGGTACTAAGAGCAAGTTTCAGTCTCATCTTCCTATGCATTCCTACATCAAAAGAAGCTGCTATCCTTTGACTTGGCTGAAGGCAGTAGCACAGCTAATAAGAATCATCAAGCCAGGCACAGAAGTTGGAGCATCAAGACCAAAGGTAAAATCAAACATTTCTTATAAAGATGCTATACTAACTCACTGTCTGTGAACCTTAACCTGAAGAAGAGGAGAGTGGAGATTGATATCTTATGCCCCTGCTGTGGAGAAGATGTTGAATCAGTTGAGCATGTATTACTAACTTGCTCAAGAGCCAGGAAAGTTTGGAGATATGCACCAGTCAGTTGGAAAGGCATAGGAGTGGACAACTGCAATTTCAGAGATTGGTGGGGAACTATCTGCTCCATTGACAAGTCCAAAGTTGCTGAAGCCAGAATTGAACTCTCCACATACATACTTTAGTGGCTTTGGAAGTCTCGGAACCTATGGGTTCTTGAGAAATCCTGGAGACCAGAGATCACCATCATCAAAGGAGCTCTTAGGGAATGACATGAGACTTTGATGAGAGGATCATGAAAATTTGCTGATTATGGAGAGTGCTATGTCTATATTGTAGTTCAGTGGTTAGGCTCTTTTGTTAGGAACATGAAAAGGAGCGCTTAGTGCACTGTAGGGATCAGTCATCAACTACCTTCGGTGGTCCTTTACTATGTTTTAAGCATACTTGCATGAGTAGGGCTCTCTGGCTTGGACTTCGGTTTCAGGGCTTGTACATATTGTAATGAACCTTTTATGTTGATGTTTATGAGTATTCCTATCGTTTTTAGAAAATAAAAAAAAAATTGTGGTGCGTAAACTAAGCGAATAATATGCGGAACATTGTTTGCGGATATGAAATTTATGCTACGGAGCAACGAAAAAATGTGCGATTATAAAATATGCAAAAATATTACGCATAATCGTTCATTATACGACACTATAAATTTAGATATGTCAAACGTAAACTGAGCAAACATTTGTCGCATGAAAATAAATGTACGACGTTTGAGTTGGATATGTGATTCCTGAATATGCAAAAAGTTATCGTATATGGTAAATTAAGCGATGGATTTAGATATGTAAGACGTAAACTATGCGAAAAAATGTCGCACAACAAAAAATGGGACAATCGATTTGGATATACGATTATTGAATATGTGAAACATTATTGCATAGAGTAAATTAAGCGGTAGAATTGGATATACAAGACGTAAACTATGCGAAATGCCGCATAACATAAAAATGCAACTATGGATATGGATAACTGATTCCTGAATACACGAAAACTTCTCGCATATGGTAAATTATGCGGTAGATTTGGATAGACGAGTCGCAAATTGTGACATAATATGTCGTATAATCTTAAAATATGTGACGCTCGATTTGGATATGCAAAAAAATTCCACATACGTTAAATATGCGGTGGATTTGAATATTGAATTTGTGAACTATGCGAAAATAAGTCGTATAACATAAAATATGCAACGTTCAATACAAATATGCGATAACAGAAAATGCAAAAATTTCCGCGTACGGAAAAATATGCGATGAATTTGAATATGCGAGTCGTAAACTATGCAACAACATGTCGCATAAATCGTAAAATATTCGTTGTTCGATTTGAATACACGATTACATGTTATGCGTAAGTGTTTAGTATACTTTTTAACTATGCATCTGATTTGGATGTGCAAGACAAAATATGCAAAAACTTGTCGCATAATCATAAAATATGCAGCTATCAATTTAGATATGCGTTTTTATATCCAATATAGTAGTATTACGGTGAAAAGGAAGTTTTTTGATGGGACAAAAATGCATGGATATATTGAGGTGTAAAAGAAATTCTCCCTATACAAATACATGTACACAAAATAATTTAAGTCGCAACTGACAAAAAAGAAACCCAAAGAAGAAAAGAGGGCAACAGAGAGAAGATTCAGCAACTCCACAACTCAAGGTAAAACTAACGACGGAATTGGGATAAAACCATCCATATCCTTACCTATCTGGGTCCTGAGACCTGCTGCGAGGACATGTAGGAGAGGGAATTATATGAGGTTGTGGAGCCGTACACAACAAACTCGTTATTCGTCTCCTCCCCTCTTGATGTCTCTGTAAATCTCCTTCCATAGAACCTCAGGAAATTAAGCGACTCCACCCTGGGCTCACTTGGGGGCATCCCCCCCTCCAACATCCCCACCACGTTGCTCATTGAGGGCCTGAGGCTTGGGTCCTCGTGAACACAGCACAGGGCCACCCGTACGACCCTCTCCACCTCTTCCATCCTCACCCTCCCCGCCAGCCTTGGATCCAACAATTGTAGGTATCGTCCCTCCTCGTGCATTTCCAAAGCAAACAGCGGGAAGTACATCGGGCGTTGATTTGTGGGTGTGTACTGGACACACGAGTTCTTCCTCCCCCTCACTATTTCAAGCAGCACCATCCCATAGCTGTACACGTCGGTTTTATCTGAGATGGCTGAGCTGGTGAGCCATTCTGGTGCCAGGTACCCACGCGTCCCCCTCATGGTTGTGAACAGCCCAGATTGCTCTGGGCTCAGCAGTTTTGAGAGCCCAAAGTCGGATATCTTCACCTGGGAGGCGTCGTGGAGGAGGATGTTCTCAGGCTTCACGTCGCAGTGGATGATCTTGTGTTCGCATCCTGTGTGCAGGTACGCGAGCCCTCGGGCCGTCCCGAGTGCGATCTCGTACCTCTCCCTCCACTCGAGAAGCCGCTCCTCAGCGTTCTCCCCTCCGAATAGCGTGCGGTCCAGCGACCCGCGGTTCATGAACTCGTACACCAGAAATCTCTGCCCCCGGTATGCGCAGAACCCTTTCAGCCTCACCAGGTTGATGTGGTGGATCTTCCCGATGACTGCAATCTCGGTCAGGAACTCCTTGTTACCGCGCGAACCCAAGCACGTGATCTTCTTCACTGCAACCTCGGTTCCATCTCTGAGGGTCCCCTTGTACACTGTGCCAAACCCCCCCGATCCGATCTGGTTCTTGAAGCCCTCGGTCACGACCGCCAGCTCATTGTAGTCGAATCGGACAGGTAGTCCTGGAATGGAGACGAAGTTGATGTCATCTCTGTCCGTTGATGACAAGGAGTAGGCCCGGCCAGACAACGAGTTTGGGCTTTTGGTCCACCTCTCAATTCTTCTTTTTCTTCTTCTCCATCTCAACCATATTATGATTCCTACCAGGGCAATCAGCACAACCCCGGACGATGGCAGCAGGACAACAGCTGTTATGGGGAAACCGGATTTTTTCCCTGAGGAGTCTCCACCAGAATTTCTCTCCTCCAAGGCTTTGATAAATCCCAGACGGTTTGCATCCCGGGAGGAGCTGGACTTGATCAGAAATGAGCCGAGGTAGTCCATGATCATGTAGCAGAAGCTGGTATTCCCACTGTAGAAGAAGCCCAAACAGGAACAATTCCTGGAGCACAACCCTTTGCATGCGGAAAGGTTCATGTTGTCCATCACGGGGTCCATAAAATCATTCGAGAAATAATCCAAATCCTCTCTCATCTCCAAATAATTAATCTCCTTCATATCATTCGATGATGATATGCCACAAGGACCTGCAGATAAAGCCAGAGACCGATTCGTGGGTACACAATCGCCATGAATACTCTTAGGATCAGGATGAAACCCTGGTGCGCACTGACACGAACCTCCATTAGTACACACACCACAACTCCTGCACACAAACGGGATCCGGCAGTTATCAGCTGGGGCCTCGAAATATTGCTCCCTCGAGCCGTCCCTAGTATCCACCTTCACGATGCCCAAAACCCCGTAGGGATCCAACTTCACCATCACAAAATCCGATGAGCTCTTAAAAGCCTCACTCGGGATGATCTGAAACACCACCATCCCACCATCTCCGATCAAGTACACACCGGTGAAATTTAACATCATGTATTTAACAGCAGAGTATGAGTCCCTGACAGCCTTTGTCTCCATTGACAGCTTCCAATAGCTAATCCCATTCCACTGCAGCATAGCATCATTTTCTCCTAGGGAGAGTCTATAGCTACCTTCCGATAGATCCTCGTCGCTCACCGAGGACACCAATGATTTACCAATCGGGAACCTCTGTCCCACCACGATCACGTCGGTTGGATAATCGAAACTCTGCCACAAAGTGTTGTTGGCGAAATCGAGCAACACCAGATTTCCCGATTCCATGAGCTGCAGAGAGGAGACGGACGAGAGGTTACGAGGCGTTGACCAGGAAATTTGACCCGTATCGTTGTAGAGAGAGAGTCCGCGGCTAGACAGGCGAAGCTCACCGGATTGCGAAATGGGGGCGTTGCGATTGGCCGACCAGACGATGGTGTTGGAGATGACATGGACTACGGCGAAGTAGTAGGACGCCGATTCGGGCTTAGGGTTGGTTAACCGGGCTTGGAATGAGTTGTTGCGAGAAGTCAGGAACGCGCCGGGGGCGGAGCTGTCCACGAACTCGAGGTAAGAAGCCGTGAAGTTGGGGCTAATGGAAGTGACAGAGATCGGACCACAGAGAATTGGACTGGGAAAGAGTAGCGCGAATAATAAGAAGAAGGCGGTGATGGATATCGATAATCGAAGAGGCGCGGCGGCGGATGAGGCGGCCATTCAGACACGGCGGAGGTAGTTGTGGCGGTATAGGGAGGGTTTTGGGGGTAATTGGGGAGTGGAACTTTAGCGAAGTGTCTGTGCCGTTGAGCGTCATTATTGTTACTTAGGGTTATTATTAGTTGATAATTGGTTTGAGATATGATGTGCTAGTTTTATGTCTTTTTCCGGCAATCAAGGTCACTGGTGTGCCCATGAGGATTGACCAAGTGTTCCTTGTTACGAACACCTGACCAGGGGTAAGCATGACACTTAGGGCGTCTCCAATGGTTGGCTATTTGGCTAACTATTATGACGTGGACAAGGGAAAAGTAAGAGAGAGAGTAGTCACTAGCTACTAACAAATAGCTTATCTATTTCACGTAGTCCAAGATTATGTGAGAGGAGTATGTGGGTCAAATAGTTTAAAATAGTTATTTTTCTTATCTCTCACATCCACGTCAGCTAACCATATAACTAGTAATAACTATTACCATTGGAGATGTTACCTTCTATTTCAAAAATTGAGATGGAAATTGTATCGCCTTTTCGTTTATTATATTTTTTTTTTTGGATTATTATCTAATTGTCATTATTATTTATATACATTATTATTTTTTTATTATTGATATTAATTGTCAATTAATATTATTATTTATATGCATTATTATATTCTGATTGCCAATTAATAATTGTATTAATTGCTTATTGTTATTATATATATATTATGTGTGATATATATATATATATATATATATATATATATATATATTGGATCAGGCTCCAATAAAAATGATGTTCAATGAAAGAAATAAGAATACATCGTATCCATTAGATTATATGATCCACCGATAACAAAAAAATCTAATATTAATATATTCATTAAAGGTAAGTTAGACATTTCTACTACTCATACTATTTAAACACTTACCCACTTCATCAATAATTAAATGTCTGTCACGTGCCACTTTACTTCCCAACCTCACACCTACCTCCTTCTCTCTTTCACACACACACACACACCCACCCACACGTACATACACCTCCACACACACTTGCACGCACATACACGTTTCCTCCGCATCCATCGTCGGTTCGGCCGCCCGCCACCGTCAGACTCCACGTCGTCGTCGTCGCCTTCTTCTGTTGCCGCTGTCTTTACAACAAAAAAAATATATATTGAATAAAAATATTAAAATATTAAATATATTTCCATAACATAAATTATAAATTATTTAGATTATTTAGGTTAATCAGCTAAGCGATCAAATAAACCGATTATTTCAGATTTTTGGATTGGTTTGGGAAAAAATGGTTAAAAGTAATGTAGTTTGAGTGCACATTAATGTTAGATAGATTGCACGTTAGTGACTGTCAAGTTGCACTATATCGACAAAAACAAAATGACCGAACTAAATTCGTTGAAAATGCAAGTGTTATGAGTGCACGATAGTAATAGACGAACTGCACATTAATGACTATCGTATTGCACAAAAAGCGATCGACATTGAACAAACTAAAATTTCATTTTGAGATTTTATATTTCAGTTCGATTATTTATTTTTTACTATCAAAATATTATTTATTTCGAATTTATTTCGTTTTTCTATTATTATTTTATTTTTTAATATCTAAACTAACTGAACTATAAAAAAAAAAAATTATTTATATACATAATTGTTTTGAGCAAATATAAATCTAAATTATTAAACAAATAAATTAAGATACAAAATATATTTTGGTAAAATAAATTATATAGCCGACCGAATGAACCAAGTAATTCATTTTGGTTTTAAGTCGGTTTTGGATAACAGTTCGGTCGGTTCAGGTTTTCCAAATATTCTACTCGATTATTTTAGTTTTAACGTTCAGGTCGGTTAGTGTAGCCTAACCAACCAATAAACACATTATGCAGCTCGTTGGTAAATTTTGTAATTTATTTATTTAGCGTGCATATACAAACACGCTATTGTGCAATTTACTTATAGCTGATGTGCAATATAACAAAAAGTAATGTGCAGTGCTTTGATCAGTAATGTGCAATGATTTGAACAGTAACATGTTACAAATAATTAGATTTTAATAACTTTCATATTTAACCCATAAACCAAATTGTAATATATTCAAAATCCCAAAATTAGAAATGAGTCCCTATGGAATGCCAAAATTTCAAAAGCATGCCCAAAATCAAATTTTATATACATCTCAGATTACAACACAATTTCACCCCAAACTCCGGCATCCATCCTAGCCCCAGCTCCGGCATCCATCCTGGTGAACGAACTCCGGCGATTAAGACCACGTCATTGTGGTTGGCGGAGGCGAATTTTACAAAGGGGGCGGTGAAATGGAAGGACGATGAATATCTCAGGTGGTCGGGCTTTGGATCGTCGTGGAGGACGGCCAAACTAGCCATCGAATCGAAGGCCATTAACATCGGAAGATAGGTTTCTGGAGAATATCATCGGCTGATTGGCCGATTTGGCCGTCGCCTTCCTGTGGTCGCGGAATGTATGTTGGTCCGGAGCAGGCCGCTTGCAATCTTCTCCGGACGCCGTCGACATAAACTGGCGTTAGGCGGAGATGACGCGGGCGGAAGGATGGTGGTAGCCGGCGAAACCACCGGCGGAAGGGAGGTGATCGCCGGTGGAAGGACTGTGTGTCTGTGTGTGTATCACGAGCGTGCACTGTGTGTATTGGAATGTGTGTTTTTGTGTGTGTGTGGAAGAGAGGTGTGATTTTTATTGTGATTGGTGGGACCCACATGTATTGTTGATGTCTGTGCATTGACCATAATGCCCTTACTAAGTGGGCACTTTTATACCTTTGACCATAAGATGCACCTTTATTTACGCCACTGCCATTCACATGTTGACCATTAATTTTTAAAAAATTGACTTCATCATGGCCATTGATATGTTGGAGTCAGTGGCATTGATTTATTCTTATTTCTTTCATTATCTATCA